GTCTTGGCCGGTCCGTGTCCCCCGTCGTCGTCCCCCTCCCCCGCCACGTCGGGTTAAATTTTAGCGATTTCTGTGGTCGAAAGGGGACCGAAAGGTGCTGACGGAGGTGGCCCTGCTTGGGTCAGCGCATTCTCCACCGGGGAGGGGGTTAATTTTTGATGGGGTTGGACCAACGAAGGGGGTTGATGGGGCCAAGGGACACGTCGGCAGTGGGAGCAAGGGCCAGGGTGGCCTCGGGGATGGAGGGGGAGGGAAATCGGGGAAGGGGCATCATGGCGGCAGCACCGTGGGTCGCTGGGAGGGGGTTGGGGTGGGATTTGGGAGCTCCTCACCCTTCCCACCCCCTTCTCTAAGGTTTTGGGGACCCCTCTACTGGGGTTTTTGGATGTCGTCTCATTGGAGGTGACCTCCAAGTTGGTGGCGTTGGGTGCCATCTCGTCGGTGGTGGCCTCGGGGACGAGGTTATGAGGTGTCGTCTTGTTGAAGGTGACCACCGCCGCGGTGTTCTTGGGCGTCGCGTTATTGGAGGTGACCTTGGGGACAAGGTGATGAGCTATCGCTGGAGGTGACCTCCAACGCGGGGGTTCTGAGGTGCCATCTTCTTGGAGGTGACCTCCGGGACCGGGTTATGAAGTGTCACCTTATTGAAAGTGGCCTCCAACGTGTTCTTGGACACAGTTCTCAGGCATCGGCCTGTTGGAGGTGACCTTGGACATGGTTATTGGGTGTCATCTTATTGGAGGTGACCTCAGGTGGGCTCAGAGAACACCCCGAGACGTTGTCCCCACCAGACCTGCTTTATTCCTCCAAGGACTTCCCCTGGCCCACAAAGGGAGGTCACCAGCGAATTCGGACCCGTCCCCAAAACAAGGCTGTGGAGACCCATGGGGGAGAGTGGTTGCTGGTGGCCGGGCGTAGGGTGCTGCCCCCCACCCCACCCCCTGTGGTCCTTCAGGCTTCTTTCTGTGGGGCCTTGTCCTGGGGCTGGAGGGGGATCTTCTCTTTGGAGTCATCCGTCTTCTTCCGCTTGGCCCTGGAGGGAGGAAGATGAGGAGGAGGAGGGTCCATAGGGCATGGCATCCAACCATCCATCATCCATCATCCATCAATCAGCCATCCATCATCCAACCATCATTCATCCATCATCCATCCATCCATCAGCCAACCGTCTGTCATCCAACCATCATCCAACCATCATCCATCCATCCATCCATCCTCCATCCAACCACCATCCATCATCCAACCATCAACCCTTCATCATCCATCATCCGTCCATCATCCATCCATCCATCCATCCATCCATCATCCATCCAACCACCATCCATCATCCGACCATCATCCCTTCATCATCCATCCATCATCCGTCCATCATCCATCTATCCATCATCCATCTATCCATCCATCATCCACCCATCCATCCATCATCCATCCATCCATCATCCATCTATCCATCCATCATCCACCCACCCATCCATCCATCCATCATCCATCTATCCATCATCCATCCATCCATCCATCATCCGTCCATCATCCATCCATCTATCCCTCCCTCCCGCCCACCTGCTCTCCACCTCCTCGATGGTGTCAGGCAGCGGCGTGTTGAGGGTCTCTGGGAGGAAGCCGGCCACCACGGCTGCCACCATGGGGGCCACCCCATAGACGGCGGGGGGCAAGAAGGGGTAATACTCATCCATCATCTTCACCAGCGGCGCCACGATGCCACCCACTCGGGCCATGGTGCTGCCGAAGCCCAGCCCGGTCTGCCTGCCGACGCCGGGAGGGGTCAACGTGGAGGAGAGACCACCCTGGGGGTGTCACGGGTGGGTGACGGGGGACCTGCCCCACTGTGGGGTCACGGGGATGAGGTTTTACCTGATGGGAGTGGGGTAGAGCTCGGTGGTGTAGAGGAAGACGCAGTTGAAGGAGGCGGAGAGACAACCCTTTCCGATGACGGCCAGCGCCGTGCGCACCGTCTGCAGCTCTGGGGCAGAGAGAGGGACGGGGTGGACTCGACGTTTGGGCAGGAGCCACCTCAGGGCTGGGGTGACGGTGGGGAGGAGAGAGAAGGGAGGACGTAGGGATGGGTAGCTGGATGGGTGATCGGATGGGTGGTTGGAGACATGGATGGATGGAAATATGGATGGAGACGTGGATGGAGACATGGATGGATGGATGGATGGAGATGTGGATGGAGACATGGATGGATGGATGAATGGATGGATGGATGGAGACGTGGATGGATGAATGGATGGATGGAGAGATGCATGGATGGATGGATGGAGACGTGGATGGATGGATGGATGGAGACGTGGATGAATGAATGGATGGATGGAGACATGGATGGATGGATGGAGACATGGATGGATGGAGACGTGGATGGATGAATGGATGGATGGATGGAGATATGCATGGATGGATGGAGACATGGATGGATGGATGGAGACATGGATGGATGGAGATGTGGATGGATGAATGGATGGATGGAGACGTGGATGGATGGAGATGTGGATGGATGGATGGACGGAGACATGGGTGGATGGATGGATGGACGGAGGCATGGATGGATCAATAGGTGGGTTCTGAGTTGGTGAGTCACCATCCTTGGTGATATTCAATAGCTGGACATAGGCTTGGGTGACCAGCTCTGGGTGTCCCTGCTTAAGCAGGAGGGTTGGACCAGATGACCTCCAGAGCTCCCTTCCAACTTCAACTACACTGTGGGTAAGTGAGGGGATGGGTGGTGAGATGGATGGATGGACGGATGGATGGACAATGAGGTAGGCAGGTGAGTCATTCGATGGCTGGAGAAGAGAGGGATGGATGAAGAGCAAAAGCAGAGCTGTGCGATAGACCGGTGGGGACACGGGTGGCTGGACAGAGCAGTGCAGAAGACCCCCATCGCTCCATCGCACCCACCTGTGGAGACAAAGATGTTGGCAATGATGACCAGCCCCGCCACGAAGAGGGCCACCATGAGCGACACCCGCCGGCCAACGTAGCTCAGGGAGACGGTCACCACCACTTTGGCCGGGAAGTCAACGGCGCCGAAAATCACCTGGATGAGGTAAATGCTGACGCCAAAGTTTTGCAGATCCATGGCCAGCCCGTAGTAGGAGAAACTGATGGAGAACCTGGAACGGGGCAGAGAGAGGTATGGACCTTGAGGTGGCATGACCTCCTCGGGGTGTCACCATCTCACGGGACAGGGCAGGGGGCTCAGATGGAGGAGAAGACGACTGTGGTCCAGTTGGATGGTTGGATCCACTGGTTGTCTGTCCAGAGGTCCATCTTTCCATTCATCCATCTGTACATCTGACCAACTCTCCAACCATCTGGCCATCTCCTTGTCCATCCATCCATCCATCCATCCACCCATCATCCACCCATCCACCCGTCCAACCTTCCAACCATCCATCCCTCCAACTCCACACCCACCTCTCCACCTCTCCAGCCCCTCACCCATCCCTCCCTCTTCCTCCTCCTCCTCCTCCCCATCAGACTTCCCCGCTCCAACCCAGTCCCACCAGACGATGGAGAGGCAGAAGAAGATGTGACGGATGACTGGGGTCCGGACCAGGTCCGAGACGGTGTAGGAAGACTTCAGACTGGCCAACTCCTCCTTCATGTTGGACTTCAGGATCTGGGAGATGGAGAAATCGAGGAGGTTGGTGGGGGACAGGGATGGGAGCTCAGGACCCTCCTCACCATGGGACCACCATACCTCTACCGTGATCTTCTCCCCTTCCTCTTTTCTCTTGTTGATCCCGGCCACGCGCTGCAGGACCTTCACGGCCCTCTCGGCCTTCCCCGAGAGCACCAACCAACGGGCGGATTCAGCCAACCACCTGCAGCCAACAAGGGGGAAACTGAGGCACAAAGAGAAGCCACCACGTGTCCCCACAGCCTTCTCCAAGGGACCCCAGCGTCCTACCAGGAGTAGAGGAGGAAGACGAAGAAGGGCAAGGAGACGGTGAGCTGGAGCCAACGCCAGTGGGGGACGGCGTAGGCCACACCGGCCAGCAGGATCTGGCCCAGGGTGTAGGCGAAGCCGGTGATGGCCACGGTGATGGCGCGGGAGGGCGGGGGGGTCC